GTGGATCCTGGAATTTCCATTTGTATATACAGCATCCTCGGGGTCTCTAATCAGCTGATCTTTGAAGTTCTGCACTTAATCTGATTTACATTTCTGTGAATCAAAGTTAAATACCTCCCATTTGTTCTGGAAATTAACTGCATAAAACATTGAATCCCAATTTGCTCCATTTTTGGGACCTCCTCTATGATAGAACTTATATTATTAGTATGAAATGGGTGTCAGTGTTATATCATCAAAACTTTGTGAGTAGGAAACAGAGTCTTCAAGTAGCCTGGGATAATTTATGTGACAATCAATTAGTAGCTTATTAATAATAGCTTTGTATTAGTTGTTTTTCATTCTAGTTATTGTTGCATTGAAAAAGAATAGCAAGTTCAGCCCATGTTCAAAAGTTGTTTTAAAAATAAAAAACAAAAATGCTGGCTACTTTAGAAGTGCTCTAGAACTCTAGAGCACATGGCTTATCAGTGTCAGAATTATTTTGACCACATGAAGAGTTAACTTGCTATGCAGTTTATTGAAACCATTTGAAGCTCTAGTGTGCTGATGACATGTCTGTACAGTGCTGATGTAGCAGTTAAAGTGTCATTTGAATTGTTCCTCAGCTAATTTCACAAATATATTCACAAAGTGCCAGTATTTCTGCTTGTTTTGAATGAGGTTTTCTTTTAAGAAAGCAATAGAAAATTTGCATTAAATATTAAAGCAGCAACAGCATGTTCAGTAACAGAATCCTGGAAGATGTTTTCATTAGTTATCTATATGAAAGAGCTGAGTGAGGTCATCTCACCATTTAGGATAAAATATTGTGTGTAAGGTGATGGTGCTCAGTTATACATTCCCATCCCATGTTGAGTAAGACTTACAGCAGAAGTCCTGACCGGGTGGCTAGAGATTTTGAGGAAACAGTTGGAACGAACATGGTCAAATTAAATCTTAACAAGATACAGTGGCTGCTTATCTGAAAAACATTCTAACTCCACAGTGGCTGCACAATTGGCTTTTCCTGGAGTTGCACTTTGTTAAAAGCAGAGGCTCTGTGATCTACGGGTTCATTTGCCATTATATGGCTCCTGTATGAACAAAACAGATGGTGGACCTTGCTTAGCTTTGGCGTCAGATATGATTGTTTTTGGCACAAGATGCTCTGGTGCCTGTGAGGAGTCCTCATTACTTCATATTTGGATTGTGTGTATTGTGCTCTACTTGGGGCTCCCTCTGAATACCGGTTGTAACCTACAATCTTGGCAGTGCCCCACCTGCTGCACCAGCTCACAGGTTTCTGAATATACCGTAATTCAAAGTACTGGTAATGACCTTTGTGACTTGGGTCTTCATCTTCTTCAGGACAGTCTTTGTCTTCTTAATTTGAAAGGGCGTGCTTCTCATGTTCTTTCCTCAGGAAGTTGGAGATGAGGATCTGAAAGAAGACTTTCTTTATGATGCCTGTTAGCTTTTTGAAAAGAGATCAGGACAATTCTCTTCCTCTAGGCCAGGGGTAGGCAACCGTGGCTCTTTTATGACGCGTGGACTTCAATTCCCAGAAAAAGGGAATTGAAGCTGGCTCGGGAATTCTGGGAGTTGAAGTCCATGCGTCATAAAAGAGCCAAGGTTGCCTACCCCTGCTCTAGGCCTTTAAAATTTTGAGTATCTTACATTTTAAAACCTTTTTGTGCTTTTACGTATTTATTTATAGGCTGCTTATAGGCTGATTCAATCTGCCTGCTCTGAGTGGCAAACAATTCCTCAGTTATGTAATTGGGATTAAAATCATATAGACAGTTGAACAAACAATAGCTAGAAATATTCCTATGGAAGTGAGAATTGTAAATAAGACAGTTAAGAAACTGGGAGTCAATTTCTTCTTGTCTTTTAGGAAACTAGTGAAAATCTGGGTTGCTTCACCTTGCAGCAATCCTTGTTTTGGTGAAGCAACCAGATTTTCACTAGTTTCCTAAAAGACGAGAAGAAGTCACAGATTGAGGGGTGGGGTACCCCAGAGAGGAGAAGTGGCACCTGAAAAGATATGCTTGTTTGGTTCTTGCAGGTGACATTCTCTAATTGAGGTGACATGTAGCAAATCCACCCTACTGGATCATATTTGCTGGATAGATACTGCAGGGAAAAGCCAGTCCTGCAGATATTCTGGCCTCAAAGCACAAAGGTGCTTGAAAAGTTCAACCAGCACCTTGAATTGCTCGCCAAAGTCAACTACAGTAGCAACCAGGGCAGATCTCAGTTATGTGGATGACCTGAAAGTGCTCTTGCTACCTGAGTCCCTGCATTCTGAACCCAGCTACTGCTTTTGAATGGTCTTCAAAGATAGGCACATGTGTATGGAGCATATTGCAATACTTCAATCAAGACATACAGTAATTAAGGCATGAGTCACTGTGAGTAATGCCTGCCATTCCAGGAAAGGTTGCAGTTGATGTGTGACATGGAGCTTTGCAAAAGTCCTTTTGGCCACAATTGCCACCTGCTCTTTGATCTGCCCAGAATCTTGAGTGGGCTGGCATATATAGTTATAAAACAAATACATTAAAGTGCATATGGGGACTAATAAAATTATGAGTGTTAAAATACCTTTGAAAATTAAAATAGACTTTCATTCATTTTCGCCAATAGATTTTTGAGTATACTGATGGCAATGTATTTTCTTTTACTTTGTAATTGATTTGATGGTTCCTATGCTACACAAAATAATGATTATCTACAACTGCTGTGTAGCAGGCTGGGGATTAAAGAGTTGATTTTTGTTTGTTTGTTGTTTTCTATTTTGTGCTTGATTTGGTATAATTTAATTTATATATATTCTAATAATATTTCAATTTTGTTGTTTCCAGCTATTTCTTTTACATGTGTGATAAGGTGGTTGCTCCCAATGTATCTCTTAGTACTTCAATGCCACAGTGTAAAGAAACCACAAAAACTGTTGAAAAAATATCAGAGGTATATAAATCATTTTCGGGGACGTCACTAAAACAGCAAAATGGAGGCAAACACAAAAAAAGTGTGTTTTATCAGGACATCGCTCTTGAAGGACAGGAGAAGTTTGACTTAAAGCCCAGATCTGGAATTTGTGCTAGTATAGGTGAGTAAAAAATGAAACTGTTTCATAACAATAACATTAATGAAATTATTGTTTTTGTAGAAAATCAATAAACATTGCTTTCCTGACTTTTTGATTCTGTAGAGCAACCCGTACCCATTAAACCTGCAAACAGAAGGAAAACAGAGCAGGTCAGTTCCAGGGAGACTACAGAAGATGAGATGGAAATAAATAGTGATGCACAATCCTCATCTCAGGCTCTTACCGATGGTATTGGATCTGATGATGATAAAGGGAAAATGATGGAAGAAGTAATGAAAACATATATTAAACAGCAAGAAAAACTACATACAATTTTGCAAAAGAAGCAGCATCTTCAAATGGTATGATGTGAACGTGATTTTATTTTTGTCTACCACCCAAACAGTGTCTTCCCTTTTTTGTATTGGTTCCATATTAAGATGAAAGTTTATAATTATGAATAATACAATGATACAGTTAATAAAACAAACTTTTCCCTCTATTTCATTTAATATTTACTTGTATTAAAAGCTTACTTTCATCTAAGAATGCTAACCTGAAAGTTGGACTTCAGCTATTATCAAACATAACTTTGATAATAAGTTGTCCTTCTGCTTAATGTCCCAAAGGTGCTTTTTCAAGAAGAAAGTGGACTTTTTAAAAAGACATTTTGCTTCTCATCCAAGAAGCTTCTTCAGCTCTGACTGGATGGTGGGGAATAGAAAGTTTTATATTCCTTGCAGACAGCTGGTCATTTGCATTCTTTTAGAGAGTCGTTGAGGCCACTTGGAGGTTTGTCTGTATCTTCGGGATCACCTGAGTAATGCAGATGGGTGTGGAGCCTTCTTGGAACTGCTGAAAGGACTGTGTTGTGGAGCTATGTTTTCTATAGGATGTTGTCTGCCCTGTGTCCCTTCGCTGTTGAATACATGCACAGTCTGTGTTGTCTCCATCTCAAACTGAAGTGCAAATGGTTCCTGTAGTCTGCAGTTTTTCTGGAAATCGTTCATACTCACACACCAGTGAAAGGACACAGGGCAGAAAACATCCTGCAGAAAACACAGCTCCACAACACAGTCCTTTCAGCAGTTCCAAGAAGGCTCCAAACCCATTTGCACTACTCAGGTGACCCTGAGGACACAGACAAACCTCCAAGTGGCCTCAACGACTCTCTAGAAGAATGCAAATGACCAGCTTGTCTGCAAGGAATATAAATTCTTCTATTCCCCACCATCCAGTCAGAGCTGAAGAAGCTTCTTGGATGAGAAGTGAAACTTCTTCAAAGAAAAAGAAGAAAATCCAGTTGCTTCTTGAAAAAGCATCTTTGGGACAACCATGACCTGGATGACTGAGAATCTCCATAGATCTCTGCTTAATGTTTTGCTGCAGTAGGCTGACCCATTTCAGTTATTCTCTTTGCATTGGTGGAACTTTCCCACTCTGGAGTGCATGCAGAGAAGCCCCTTTTAATATCTGGGTCAAAAATGGGGTGACTGCTCTCGTGTAGTGCTTTGAAGAGGAATGCCGCTTTGATTCAGTGCTTTGCTTAGAGACAGTGCTTTGATTAAAACTTTGTTGAATCAGACACACACACACACACATCCTCTTTGAAGATTGAAATTCCTAACAACATCTTGTATTACATTGGCATCTGTTATGTCTCCACTGGATAATAGCACGGTTAAACTGTGTTCCCTAAGGTTCCTATGATGAAAATTGCTCAGCACTAATATCTGGAAAAAGGGTGTCCAGACTACTAGAAGATAGCTAGTAGAAATAAAATTAGGGCAGTTTCAGATTGTTGTAAGCTTATATTTGTGATTAGCATTTTAATTGAACATGGGGGAAAATCCTTTATAGTATAATATTTAAAGGTATGAGGGAAAAATTTCTCAACATTCCATACGTTTTTTTACTTTAAAAAACTCTCTATCTGAAATATTTTTCCCCAGATATCTGTGAATATATTAATGGAGAATGTTGAAGTAGAAATACTGGTGCATAATGGTTAAGTTCATATGTGTCTCTGTGTGTCTAATATATATATATGTGTGTGTATACTGATAGAGAGAGTATATATAGTAAGCATGTACATATAAGTACATGCTTAACAACTACTGTGAGTTACATTTCTGAGAGAAGAAATCTTAAAAGGACAAGATACATATCCATATTAAGTCCTATTTCAAGTGAAATAGAGCCTGAGGGCTATGAAATTTGAAGCATAATTTGTGTTTTGAAAACTCTCTATATAATTGTCATTTCTTC